AATCCAGTGCTCCGTTCTGCCTGCCTGCCTGCCTTCATTTCTGGTTGATTCGGAGCAGCTTCGGCTGAGAATAATAACTATTCGCCTCTTTTTATCAGCCGAAGCTGCTCCGAAACAACCAGAAACGCAGGCAGGCAGGCAGGCAGGCAGAACGGAGCACTGGATTGAACCGTGTGTGGGCGGGCGGGGTGGGGGTGAACGGGCGCTTCGGAGGAGCTGCGGCGACAGGAAAAGCCACCCCCCCGGCTTCTTTGAAGCAGTTTCTTCCTGGGCTGGATGTTAGAGGTCCATCGTAGCTCTGAATGATCCCTAAACAAGGACTACAGGAGCTTCCTAGGGAAAACACACTGACTAAATGCTCCTCATTCAATTCCTGTTTTCACCAAACAGAGATAAGAGAAACATCTGCATGAAATTTTGTAGCTACACAGCTGGGCAAGACCTAGAACTAGAGAGACTGCAGTCAGGTGTCTTTAATGCTAGTTGTAGGGTAAACATAAAGTTTTGGGAATGGAAAATAGAATCTCCCCCCCCCCCCCCCCGCCGGTCCTTGAAAAAGTGTTTCTGCTTGAAACTGGTCCCTGGTACAAAAAAGGTTGGGGACCACTGGCTTACAGAAACTGCCTCTCCGTTAACCCTTATTACATTCTTGGCAGGACTAGACTTCCTGTCTCAGAAACTTCTCTGGAGTTTTTTTCCCCCTCCTTTGCCGGTACTTTGCTTGTGTGGAGTGACTATTCAAAGTTACAATGGCACTGAAAAAAATGACTTATGACCATTTTTCACACTTACGACTATTGCAGCATCCCCACAGCCATGAGAGCCCAGGCGAGGAGATGCGTGCCTCGAGGTGAATGATATTGAGTTGGCCACACCCAGCCAATAACATGAGCACCAAGCCATGTCCACCCAAGCCATGTCCACCCATGATCACCAAGCCACGCCCACCACCTAAACCACACCCACAGAACTGGTTGTTAAAAATTTGAATCCCACCCCTGCCTAGGCTTCCCCAAAAAGCACTAAGCCGACTTCTTTGTCCTGGCAAAATCCCTTTGATTAAACGAAGGTTAATTTCTTGCATTCCCTTTTAGCCAAAGACCTGGCAAACAGTATTTCAAGGGTCTAATTATAAGCACAGAACTTATCTAGCCTGGAGAGCTGCCGAGTAAATATTGTCAAATGCAGTGCTGACAAGGAAGGACTCGGCACAGTGTCTCTGAGTTGCACAAACAGATCTTCACACTGCTGCAACCAACCAACGAATGAATTGTTTCCTGCAAAAAAGCCCCCTTCCCTTCCCCTTTTGCTCCTCTTACTCCCTATGGGAGGGGCCATTCACCAGTTACCTGTGGCCTTACTCCCACGTTGTCCCTTAGTTTGTAACTGTTCTTTTCTTTTGGCAGCTCTGTGCATGCACAGGCTGGGAACCGGCTCCAGCTGCTCTCCCGCCTCACTGCTGTCCGACTCCAAAGGCAGCTGACAACTGCCAGACTGCTCTGGCTCCAGGATGCTGCAACCATGTAATGACATGCCGGTTGCCAAGCAACAGAATCATGATCACATGACTCTGGGGGTCACTGAGACAGTCACATGTGCAAGGACTGGTCATACATCATACATCGCTTCTTTCAGTGCCATTGTAACTTTGAGTGGATGCTAAACAAATTTGGTTGTAAGTTGAGGATTTCCCCGTAAAACTAGAATGCTTTTTTCCCTCTCGTTTCTTGTAAATTCTTTATGCGATTTTTGTATTTTGGCAGACTTCAGTGTGTTCTTTTTTTCCTCCTCTTTCTTTCTATTTCTTCTTTTTTTTTCTGTTTCATTCTCCAAATATCATTATAAATAAATAAAAAGAAAGAAAGAGTGAGCATCCTCATTAAGATCCTGCGTGGACCTGTTCTAATCATCTATGAAATTAATAAGAGGGGGAAAAAAGCATTAAAATGGATTTAATTATGCTAGTTTACGAGGAGATAAAGCAGGCCATTATTGAATAATAATGGTTTATATCTCCCAGGTTGTGATGCTACTTCCTCTGCATTTGATCCTTACTTGCATTAAATAGCTGCAGCTCCTGTTATTTCTTGTTTAGGAATAGCTGGTCTGGAATGTAAGAGTCAATGTTTATGGAGAGTCTCCGTCATCCAAGTCATGTTTGTTCCAAAGGTGTTTTTTTTTCCAAAACTCTACTCTACTTTCTTTGTTTTTCCTTGAAGACGTTTCACTTCTTATCCAGGAAGCTTCTTGAGTTCTGACTGAATGGTGGAGAATGGAAGGATTTACAATGCAGTCCTTTCAGCAATTCCAAGAAGGTTCCACACCTATTTGCACTGTTCAGGTGACCCTGAGATAAACCTCCAAGTGGCCTCAACGACTCTCAGAGAGAGTGCTAACGATCAAATGACTGCAAGGAATATAAATCCTTCCACTCTTCACCATTCGTTCAGAACGAAAGAAGCTTCTTGGAGGAGAAGCGAAACGTCTTCAAGGAAAAAGGGGAAAAAAACAGTTGCCTTTTGGGAAAAAAAACATATTTGGGACAAGAGTCTTAATGACCACTAGATGGCAGCAAAGGATTATACGATTTGTTTTCTAGCTCTTTGCTGCCATTTTGATGTCACCTGGATATTACAGGCCAGATCTGGTACCCCTACTCTTGTTTACTCCTTTCGTTAAGCTTCGAGCCCATCTCTTTCCACCTCCGGTTGTTCCCCACCCTTATTCCCACCCACTCCCATTTGCAATGTTTTGTGTTTCATACATCTCTTCCTTTTCCCCAGGAGTGGCTCCTCCCACCGGCCTGCAGTCATCGCAAGCGTCGGGAAACTCCCTGACCTTGCAGTGGGAACCACCTACCTCTCGCCCTGATGGCTACATCCTGAGCTATGTCCCTCTGGTTCCCACTCGACCCGCTCCAGCCATGAAACGAATAGAGTTGCCTGCAGCCCCTGAGCGTGTCACGCTGGAAGACCTGCAGAGCAAAACGCGATACCGCATCACCTTGGTTGCCCGTCAGAGTGGCGAGAACAGCCGAGCCACCAGCATTGTGGTCAGCACCACAGGTAGATCACTAGAGTCTTGACGGTCTCGGTCTAGAACTTCCTTTTCTCTGGAAATGTCTGTGGAGATTCTCAATCCTCCAGGTCATGGTTGTCCCAAAGGTGCTTTTTTCCAAAAAGACATCTGGACTTTCTTGGGGGGTTTTTTTCTTCTTTTCTTTTGAAAACATTTTGCTTCTTATCCAAGAAACTTCTTCAGTTCTAACTGACCGGTGGGGAAAGGAAGGATTAATATTCTTTCACAGTGAGCAGTCACTGAGGGTTGGTTGTTTCTGATCATCCTTGCAACACCTGGAATCACAGTACAATGTTTTCATTTAATCAGAAAGGGAACTTGGAGGTCATCTAGTCCAGCCCCCCTGCTCAAGCAGGAGACCCTATACCGTTTCAGACAGGGGGCTGTCCAGTCTCTTCTTAAAAACCTCCAGGGATGGAGCACCCACAACTTCTGAAGGCAAAGCTGCTCCACTGGTTAATTGTCCTTCCTGATAAAGACATTTCTCCTTCATTCCAGGTTGCTTCTTTCCTTCATTAGTTTCCATCCGTTAGTTTCCATGTCTTGCCTTCTGGTGCTTTGGAAAATAAGTTGACCAGTAGTGTGATCCTACCTGTGCCACTACCGGTTTGGTGGGTGATCGATCGTGCGCATGCGCGCCCCTAACGTACCAATCAGGTGAGAGGATGAAGAAACGAAAAGCTAGGAGCGAGTTGCGCTTTTCTCTTCTTTTCTCTTCTTAGCTGATTGGAGGCTTTTTTTTAAAACTACCGGTTCAGTTGAACCGGTCTGAACCGGTAGCATACCACCGCTGAAGTTGACCCCTTCTTCTTTGTGGCAGCCCCTCAAATATTGGAATGCTGCTATCATGTCCCCTCCTCCCAGTTCTTTTTTTCTCTTGACTAGCCAAACCCAACTTTCTGACAGTGAGAACAATCAACCAATGGAACAGAAGTTGCCCTCGGAAGTTGTGGGAGCGCCATCACTTGAGACTTTCAAGAAGAGATTGGACTGCCATCTGTCAGAAATGGTGTAGGGTCTCCTGCTTGGGTGGGGGGTTGGACTAGATGACCTACAAGGTCCCTTCCAACTCTGATTATCTGTTCTCTGTTAAATCCTGCAACCTTTCTTCATATGTTTTTTGTCTCCAGGCCTTTAATCACCTTAGTTGTTCTTCTCTGCATTGTTTCCAAAGTCTCAACTTCTTTTTGATAATGTGGCGGCTAAAACTGGAGTGTCCTTACCAAGGCTTTTATACAGTGGCACTAATACTTCACATGATTTTGATTCTATGCTGTTTATACAACCAAAGATTGTATTTTTATTTTTTTTGAAAAAGCACTTTTATGTCAAAAGGATTTTTTTAAAAAAGGAAAAAAGGCACAGCATACTGAATCATGCATGTTGAGCTCACTGGAAATTTGTGTGCAGTGACCAGCATCTCAGAGATACTACCCCAAATGGTAGCCAAATGTGTAGAGTTCTTCCCATCTGATAAACATGTGATGAGAAACAATCAATAGTATGGCTAAAATGGCAGGGGAAGGCCCAAGATTATGTAATATCATAGATGCCCAAATGTGTGGACTTCAACTAGAATTCCTCACTCAGCCATACTGGCTAGAGAATTGGGGGAGTTGAAGTCCACACATCTTAAAGTTGCCAATGTTGAAAAACACTATTTTAAGCGATATTGATTTGGGGCAGAATTTTAAGAATTTTTGTTCTGCAGAGTAAAATCTTTCTGTCCCAAATTTTTCTGTAATAGCATCCTTGATCCCTGATTCTCCAGGCTAACCTGGAATCATTAGCCTTCGGTTTCACAGCTTCCCACAAAGATGTTTATGTTTTATAGTTATGTGAGCAAATTAGCACCATCCTCAGAAATACATTCTTCCAGTGTTTTGTCAATAATGGCACATTTCAGCTTTATTTGCAGCGCGTGATGAAATGAATGACTAGAAATAAATGTGAAAGGATTGGTGAAAGATGTTTCTGCATTCTTCCACTATGGAAGCCTTTTGCCACAATTACACTGTCTTTTTTCTACCAAGGACATCTGAAGTCTTCATTCCCCCGCCCCCTTCCTTCAGCATTTATGATTGCAATGATTTTTTTTCATTTGAACCTCCTCTATCTATTCCACAGGTCTCTGAAAAAGAGACCACAGGAGTTTCCTGTAAGCAATATATAAAAAGACTGACACTAACTCCATCTGTTTTATTGCAGCTTTGGGGAAATTCAGGATCGACACAGCATGGATAAGTCACCAAGTCTAACTTTGTAGTGGAATATGCCCGCTCCAATCTAAACCAGTTTACAGTGCATTTTTCAGAAAGTATTCAGAGGCGCTTCGCTTTTGTCACTTTTGTTATGCCGCAACTCAGAGGTGGTATTTGCCGGTTCTCCGAACTACTCAAAATTTCTGCTACCGGTTCTCCAGAACTGGTCAGAACCTGCTAAATACCACCTCTGACTGGAGATTTTACAGTATCCTTCCCCTGCCATGCCCACCAAGCCACCCCCACAGAACCGGTAGTTAAAAAAAATTTGAATCCCACCACTGCTGCAACAGTTGTTGAAATTCATTTATTTCTCATGGATCTACATTCAGTAACCCCATCATGGCAAAGTGAAAACAGAATTTGAGAAATGTCTGTAAATTTATTAAAAGGAAAAAAACTGAAATGCCTTTCCAAATCATGTCTAGCCAATTTAATTTACCACAGGTCAACTCCATTCAAGAAGAATAGAAACATATTAGCAAAGATGAAGAGAAATGGGGAGGCACCTGAGCTAAATTTCACGTGTTGTTGCAAAGGGTCTGAATACTTATGCCAATGGGATATTTCAGTTGTTTTTTTTTAATAAATTGACAGACTTATTCTAAATTTTCACTTTGTCATGATGGGGTACTGAGTGTAGAGAATGAGAAAAAAATGAATTTCGACAACTGGAGCAAAACAAAATTGACAAAAGCGAAGAGGGCCTGAATACTTTCTGAATGCATTGTACAGTGGTGGGAAAATTAAAAAGCTAGGTTAAATAGCTCCATATAGGTAGACCTTGACTTACAACCACAGTTGAGCCCAAAGTTTCTTATTGCTAAATGAGAACAGTTGTCAAAGTGGAATTTTGCCCCATTTTTACAGCATTTTTTGTCACCATTGTTAAGTGAATCACGGCCGTCGTTAAGTTAGTGACCCAGTTGTTAAGTGAACCTGGCATCCCCATTGATTTTGCTTGTTGGAAGGTCACCCAAAAATGATCACATGACCCCTGGACCCTGCAACCGTCATAAATATGAGCCAGTTGCCAAGCATCTGCATTTTGACTATGGGGATGCTGCAAAGGTCATAAGTGTGAAAAATGGTCCTAGGTTCTTTTTTTCAGTGTCATTGTAGATTACAGATTGTCACTAAGCGAACTGTGGTAAGTCGGGGACTACCTGTATTTCTAGCCAATAGCCATACCTCTCACCTCCACGACTTATTCCCACTGAGTACTTTGCCATAACCTCCTGCATTTTTGATCCCACCAGCGCCAGCTCCAATTCAACCAAGTCGCCATTACTTCACACCTCCGCCCACTTCCCATAAAAAGCCAGACACTTCCTCTTCTCAGCCTGAAGAGAAGAAACCAGGCACTAAACCACATCCGGGTCGCCGCCCCACCAACACCACCTTACTGACCAAGGAGCACTTCCTGAGGAGAATGACCCAGAATATCTCATCCAAACTGTCCCTGTACAACGGGACCCTCCTTGAGCGGCTCGAGAGCTACCTCCGGGCCACCAATTTCCCTCTCCGAGGCAACCAGACAATCCAGAGCGTGGCCAGGGACATCTACCTCTACCTCAAACGGATGAAGCCCATTGAATTTCAAGAGAGGGTGGAAGAACGTCTTGTCCAAGAAACCAGCAACTTAACTCTGAAAAAGGAATTCCCAATAACCGAAGCAGAGAGTGTCTACTCAGATGGATACCTTCGTCCAGACCATGCCAAGCCAAAGGTGGTGACCAGCTCCCCAGACCACATTGAGGTGTCTTTGGACAGCGTGAGGGGCATCTCTGACCATGTGGTCATCCGCTACCGAAACACGGTGACTGGAGAAAGAAAGGAGTTAGTGGTCCCTGGGGATGCTTCCACAGCGACCATCACCGGATTGTCACCTGGAACAACCTACTTGATGGAAATTCATGGCGTCATGAAAGGACATTCCTCTAAGTCATACTCCTTTATAACTGCCACAGGTACCAGGGTTGGTAGAGCAGTCCTCCACCACGGCAGTTTTCTCTCTCCTTTTTGCCTATAATAGTCACATCACATGTCTTGTTTGTGTTGTTGCAAAGTCAAGCTTCTGCAGCACCCACACATGGCCAGATATTTAATCACATGTTGCTTTCACGTCCTCCCTCAAGTTGCTTGGACGGTAGGCTGCTGGCTATTTTCCTCCCTTAAAAAAAAGCCCTTCTTCGCCGTATTGCTTTCACGCAGACGTTGCAACCTCCACCAGCTAATTTATTCTCCGTGCCAAAATGCACCTTTACCTGCTGCTCCAAAGTTTGTTTGATCTGTTTTATTTTAGCTACAGGCCACTTCTTACAGCCAAAGTGCTTCCCACCCAAATTTTCTATGTTGTCCCGAGTTTCTCTGATGTTTACTTGCAAACTAAGGGATGTTTTTCCACTAAATCCAATCACACAAGGAAGGATTTTATTACAACTGTGGGACGATAACATGTGTAAGGAGCTTAGAGAACATAGAGAAGTGACTGAAATATACTGGATTTTCTTAATAATTTAAAACCCGACTTTCTTCTGAAGAAGTTCCCGTTTTTATCCTTACAGCAATCCTGAGAAAGAATAATTTGTCCAATATCACTGCACTACAGCCCATCTCTCCATAAAAATACCCAATATATAAATGTACATATATAAGAGTGTTACATTCAATATTTACTGAAAAAGTTTTACACAATTTAGTAAAACATTTCTCAATATGTTGGCTCAAATAGATACAAGTGAAAACCAGGGTTTGTCAAAAACTGAAGAGATCAAAATCAGACCATCAAAACATTCACCTGTGGATGTTGAAGTCACGCTGAAAATTATCTTTGTGTAGAGCATTGTCCTGGTGCTGATGTTGTCCTGTCTTATGTGTTATTTGAATTTTAACAAGCCACTTGCTTTCTTTTCAGCCACAGTCAGGTGCTGATAGTTGTACAAGTGAAGTCTTTTTGTGTTTAATCACTTTAATCTTCCAGGCTTCCGGCTCTTGCCTTGATGTTGCATTTATGTGGCTGAAAACTTTCTTTTCAGCTTCCGTTCCAGCAATGTTGGCTTTCAGTGTCAAGCCAGTTTATGTCGTTGCTCTGCTGCTGTTGCCGCCACCTTCACACCTCCAAACCACAACTTCCAAGTGTCTGTCTTGCCGTTTAGCTGAGATTTCTAGGTTTTATTTTCCAAAATGAAAGGAAACTATTCCAAAGACCTTTGCTTGTTCTTCTGGCAGTAGCAGGAAGATCAGTTCTGATAAATGTCTGGCTAGCATTTCTCTTTGTTGAACTGAACCTTAGTCCTGATTCCAAACAATATTGTCCGGCAGCTTCTACCTCCCACTATGTGAAAACCAGCCCTTGATGTAGCTGGTTGAGCGAACCATCACAGACAGTGAGCCATAAAATGGACAAGAGATAGTCTCCGAGTTACTACCGTAATAAAGCTTGCTTATCACGGTTGTAATTTGTAATGGTCGTAAAGTGGGTCAGTCACATGAAAAACTCTATTTTACTACCATTGGTGCGGTCATCGTTAAGTGAGCATTGGGTGCAGTTTTGTAAAATGCCAGGTTTGGGCAAAACTGGCGTAAAATAGGGCCTTGTGACTGTGGGATGCTGCAAACAGCCATACATGAGGCCCGGTTGCCAGGCAACCAAGGCTCTGTCATGTGACTGAGGGGGTGACTGTCGGAAATTTGAATCCAGGTTTTAAGTACCTCCAAGGTAGGTCCACTGGATCTTCAAACAGTCACTTGGTGACTGGTCATAA